GAATGGCTGGATGGAAAAACCAATTTGCTCTGTAAACTTAAATCTCTCTCTTTCTCTCTCTCTCTCTCTCACACACACACACACACACACACACACGAAGAACTATAAAATGGACAAAGTGGTATCTTTCTGTACATTTGTAACATAGTACAATAACTTCTTGCTAGGTCCAGTCAAGTCAGTTCTGACAACAAACTAATGTCCAATAGAACAAAACACTATTATCATAGTTTGGCCTTGCGTCATTCTCATAATTGCTGTGTCTAAGTGTACTGAAGTAGCGACTAAGTCAAGGCATTTTGAGTTTTCCTCTTGAAAGAGCCTTCTCCTTAAACAACCATGATTACTTGCCCTAGAAATTGGCCCATCTGGTTAAAATGCCCTAAATATGTTAAGGGAAAAATCTTGTCATTTTTGTCTCTAAGCTTAGAGTATTCTGGATACATTTCTCCTTTTAGCAGAAGATCAATTTGTCCTTCTGGCAGTTCATGGTATTGTCAACATTCTTCAACAAGATCACAATTTGAAGGTATCCCTTATTTATTGTCTAATTTTCATGTGCATATGAAGCAAATGAAAATACCATGGCTTGTACTAGTCAAAATCTTTAAACTGACATTCCTGTTTTAAAGAGGTCTTTGACAACAAATTTGCTCAATACAATGTGTCTTTTGTTTTCTTGACTGCTACTTTCATGGGTATAGATTGTAGATCCAAGAAAATTAAAATCCTTGAAAACATATGATCAAGAGGCAATGGAGATGAAAGATGAAATTCAGATGACTCTGAAGAACTTGGTGAAAAATAAAGCCCCAGGACTTGACGGCATAGCAATTGACATATTTCAACAAAAAGATGCTGCCCTAGACGTGCTCACCAGATTGTGCCAAGAAATCTGGAGTACAACTACCTGGTCAACTGACAGGAAGAGATCCGTATTTACTCCCGTTCTTAAAAACTGTGACTCGACTGAGTTTGAAAATTCTTGGAAAATATCACTCACCTTACACACAAGCAAAATCTTGCTGAAGATTACACAGAAACAACTAGAACAGTATGTGGACAGAGAACTACCAGATATACAAGCTGGGATTAAAAGAGGTTGTGACACAAGAGACATTACCACCACCATCAGATGGATCTCAACAGAAAGCAGAGTACCAGAGTAATGGCTATCTGTATTTCATTGACTTTGCACAGGTATTTGTCTGAGAATGGAAATCCCAGAACACTTGACTGTGCTCATGCGAAACCTATACTTGGACCAGGAAGCAGTCCTCAGAACAGAGTTAAGAAAACACTGCATGTTTCAAAATCAGGGAAGGAGTGTATCAGGGATGCATCTTATTTCCATACCTTTTCAATCTTTATTCAGAACAGACTATTCAGGAAGCTGGGCTTTATGAGGAGGAATGTGGTGTCAGGATTGGAGGAAGATACATCAACAACCTACATTATGCAGATGACACAACCCTGCTTGCTGAAACTGAGGAGGACCTGAAGCACTTGCTACAGAAGGTCAAGGACTGTAGTCTTCAATATGGATTGAAAGTCAACAACAAGAAGACAAAGATTCTCACCACTGGGCCAACTGACAGCACCATGATACAAGGAGAAGAGATTGAGGTTGTTAACAATTACAGCTTGCTCGGCTCCACAATCATAACTCTTGGCACCTGCAGTCAGGAAATCAAAAGACTAATTTCAATGGGAAAATGTGCTGTCAGGGACCTCTCCAGAGTACTGAAAAGCACCATTATCCATCTAGAAAGTAAGCTGTACCTGATCCAGGTCATGGTCTGTGCAATTATGTGCTATGCATCAGAGAGCTGGACAACGACTAAGAATGACAGAAGAAGAATTGATGCCTTTGAATAGTGGTGCTGGATAAGAGTATTGAACATAGCATGGACCACCAGATGAACAAATAAATCTGACCTGGAGAGGGTGAAACTAAGTTTCTACTTTGAACGTAGGCTTTTGAAGCTCCGTTTCACATACTTTGGGTATATGGCCAGGAGGGACCAGTCCTTGAAGAAAGACATCATGCTCACATGGGTGAAGGGACAGAGCAGGAGAAGAAAATCCCAGATGAGATGGAGTGATACAGTAACTAGGACAATGGGGTTGGTGTATTGGAGTCAGTGAGACGGGCCCAGGACAGGGCAGGCTTCAGAGCTGTTGTACATAGCTTACTGCCTAAGTGTAGTCAGTAAAAACTAAAACTTTTATCTTTCTGGTATTTGTTGCTTTCAGATGAGATTTAGTGATGGTCACTAGCAATGAAATCCTCTCTGAATACATCTTGACAAGAAGTTAAGCAGTTCCCTGTAGATGTTGTGCTGCAATAGTTTTATAAACATCTGGAGCAAGATTTTTTATGTCTGAACTAATAATTATATTCTTCAATACTTCTTACATTTTGGGGGATCATCTTTCTTTGAAAGGCATAAAATATGGCTCTCTTCCAGTAAGATGATCAAGTAGCCATCTTCCAAATTCCTTGGCACAGACTGGTGCATAGTCCAGGGCCACATGTGTTTGTCAAAACACTTCAATTGGTTTTCTGTGAACTCTGTTTTTTTTCCCCCAATGCCTTCAGTGTAGCTAAGAGTTCTTCTTTCAGTACCACTGGTTTTTGATCATATGCTATTTTCTGAAACGACTGCATGTACCACAATGGTACTACAGTAACTCCTGTGTATTCCTTCCATAGTCTTTTGACAGTTTGTGTGTTATTTTACATTTTGCCCACAGAATCTTTAAGTACTACACTACAAGGCTTGACTATTTCTTCATCAATTCATCAAATCGAGAAATGTTGGATATGTTATTCCTTTTTGGTTTTCTAACTCCAAGTTTATGCATATTTCATTAATATTTTCTTTTGTCTTCTGACAGTGTCACTAAACCTCTCTATTTCAGACCTTCATTGTTTTTGTTCCTTTTTTCTTAACAAATCACGTCTGTATATTATTTCACTACCAACATGAAGGCGGCACCTCTCTCGAAGTTGAATCCACCAGCAGCTCCTCAGGAGAAAGATGGGCAATCTCTTTATAAAGACAAACATCTTTAAATTACTAAAGACAGGTACACACCCTTACTGGCTGTGTGGTCTCCTTAATGCCCAGCTCCTTTATCTATAAAGTGGGAGTAATATTAAATGTCTCAAAGGGTAGTCCTGTAGATCAAATAACATAGTCCAGGGAATGCTTGACACATGTTAGATGCTTTACAAACTATGTGTATGCCAATTAATGGCCTAGAACTGGACAAGAATTACAAAGAAAACTGTGAGACGGGGAGTGAGGAAAATGTGCATGAATGAATGAAAACCAAGCTTTGTAAACCTTCACTAAAATAAAAAAAAAAAAAACAACAAACTAGTCTTTGCCAGCATCACTATACCTCCTTCAATTACTACTATTACTATTGGATTGATTCAGGGATTGGCTTAATGAGGGTAGGTGGGTCAGAGACAATAAGTTTGGCTCAGGATATGGTTCAGAGCTATTGTGCATAGGCTCACGATGAGTCACAAGTTATTCAATGACATGTAACAACAACATTATTATTACAAAACAAATATCAGAAAAATACATCATTAAAAGCCCATGTTAGTCTGTTAGCTGAAAGTCTGCTGGTTTGAATCCATCAGCTGCTCCATAGAAGAAAATCATGCAGTCACCTCCCTTTAAGATTAAAGGCCTCCGAAACTTGATAGAGAGCCACCAAGAGGAGGAACTGAACCGATGGCAATGAGATTTGGTTTGATAAAGAAATACAGATTTGGTTTGATAAAGAAATATTACATCTGCAAATGTAATAGGAAACATTACACAAGATTGAGTAAAAGACTGAAAGGATAATAAATTCTTTTCAAAGTAAGAAAGAAGTTTTTAGTATATATTGCAAAAAACAAAGAAGACACTTAAGGGACTAAATTAACAGAAGGTTTTTACTAGTGAAATATTCTAAATATCCACTTAAAATACAGAAAAATTCTCTGACTAGGGTTAATAATGTTCTTGTTGTTGTTTGCTGTCGGTTGGAACCAACTCACAGCAGATTCACCAACGGGTTTTCCGTGGCAGTGAAGCTGTCCGGAGGAGATTACCCATCCTTCCTGACAGAGTTGCTCGTGGATTTGGACCATGTGTCTTTGGGATCACAGCACTGCCTCTTACTTACTTGTCTTAGGATACCACGTACTTCCACCAGATGCCTCAAAGTACCATGTTTTTTCTTACACAGATTTTAAATTTTACACATATAACAAAAACAAAAGCAAATAGATATAATTAAAATAGTCTGTAAGATAACACTACATTATCAAACAACAACCTGATAGCAACATATGACCTTTTTCTAAATACTCGGCATTAAATACAAAAAGCATATATACATAAAACACATTTGCACTACAAATGCTTTATGTTAAAAAATATCACTAAAATGTTATCAATGAAAAGTTGTAACCTATTTTTTAAAGATCAGGGACCTTATTTTACTACTTCTATTCTTACTGGATTCTCTGACACTTTATGTTACTACTTTGGTGGACTAACTGTTCCTCTTCTTCTAGAATGCCAAACTCAATGCGGTTGTTCATGTTGTCAAGCTGGAGCCAATTCAAAGCTGACCTCCCAGGGGATTTTTCAGAGGCTATAAATAGCACAGGAGGAGACTGTCCATTTTGCAGCCGTGAAGCAGCTGGTAGACTCAGATCTGCCTTAGAGTTGGCAGAGTAACTGTTTATGCACTAAAACATCAGAGATCCCTCCAGCACTGTAAGAGTTTTGTTCAAAATCAGCAGAACATCAGTTTTCTTCTTTTCCATAATTACAGTTACTGATCTACTCACTTACTCTAGATATGAAAATTCTTTCTCCTATGACAAATCTTTTCTATTTTCTTGGTTTTTAAGAGTATTTAAACTTGTTATACGTGTAAATCTGAAATATCACATACTTTCATACTGCTCCATTGTTCCTTACCTGCACTTCTCAAGTTAGGATCCAGGCCCGGCATCTCTTTGTTAGCTTCAGGACTAACACTATAAATCGATGCTCCTGCTTCACTGACAATACTAAGAAGAAAGAAAACAAAGAATGTCATTTCTAAACTTTCTACCTGGTCAAAAAAAGTAAATAAATGAAGACAAAGTACTATAAAGGTTGAGGAGGAAAGACGAAAGAAAATTAGCAGAGCCAAGGGCTAATGGTATTTATAGTA